TCTCTCTCTCTCTCTCTCTCTCTCTGCTATAATTATGACGCAGTTTTTGTTCACGGCCCTTGAGGTAGATCACCCATGCCACTATGATGCCACTCCTTCTCCTATGTTGCTCCTGACAGGCAGGATCGAGGCCCACCTCCTACATAATTTGAATATTGTCGATGGGAGCGTAAAACGCCTACATTGAAAACAAACAAACAAACACCCCCCACCCTCACCCCCCTTAAAAGAACGACCCCACCCCCTCAAGAAAAACCCAAATAACGTTACACACACAAACCGCAAGGGCTGTGCATGCATTGTTGTTGTTGTTGTTGTTGTTGTTGTTGTTGTTGTTGTTGTTGTTGTTGCTGCTGCTGCTGTTGCAGCTGCTGTTGTTGTCGTCGTTGTTTTCGGAAGCGTCTGCATGGCTCGATTGAAGAGTCTTGTTAACATGTATTTGATTATAAAGTGGATCGGGTGTGAATAGGTCAGACAAATTATGCCTCGTCGAACAAGATCATAATCAATCAGCTCTATTGATAATGTTGAACTGTGACTAAGGTTCGAATCCTAAACGTAGTAATATTGAACAAGAGTAGTTTGGGGAATTTTCATGGCTTACCACCGACTTTGCATCCGTGGAAATTGATAGATTCGGAGGCACCACCTCTTTGATAATAACATAACAGCGTTGAAAGGTGAGATATCCATAACACACATTAAGGGGCTCTTGTGGTGCTGTGTTCACCTCTCATTCATTAGGTTCAGGGTTTGAAACCTGACAGCGACCGAAATGCTTTTTTCTAAAAAAAATGTTCCCCTTTAACTTCATTTCCTGATCTCTTGACATGTTCTGTCATCTGCTTTTATCTCCATTTTCCTGCCCCATCCCCGCCCACCACCGGGCCTTGGGCTCCTGTCTCCTTTACTCCTGACTTTTTCCTAAATGTACAGCTCCTCCTGGCTTCTTCTTACTATGCTGTCTTTCAGCCACACCACACCCCTTCTCTCAGGACAGGTTTGATCGAACACCTAGCCTTCTCTGATAAGAGCGACAAATCTCTGAGGTACCGTATGCAAGTTGATGGCTCTAAAATGGATAAGAGTAGGTTTCGGCGGCCACCCAGGCAAAATTCAAAATTAATTTCTGCCAGAACTGAAAATTATACTGTAGTCAGTATAAAAAGATATATTATAGAGTACCTTCGAAATCTGAATGTGACTACCTGAAGGCAAGGGGTCCTACTAAGTTGGAAAAAGCGACCACATACTTTAAAATCAGTTGCCCCGCAGGTTGAAGAACCAACAGTGGGAACGTAAAGAAGACAAGTCGTAGTTTCAGTAGTCTACGTCATTTAAAAAAAAATATTTTAAATAACTCACGTATTTATTGGCTAAAAAAATGATTACACCTTATCCAACGTTAAAATAAAAATAAATAGTAAACGTCAATACTTTAGTTAGCAGCTTTATTGTCGTATTATAGGCGGCCACGAACCACCAGGTGTCTTTATGTAAGCTACAAACCACATCAACGGTGAGAGGCTCCTGATGTCCATAGTGAGATGGTTTTTATTTTTCTCTTGCCCTCCCTCTGACTATTTGGAGCACGTCGTTGGTTAAGTTGGTATCCTGCTGGCCACTGGTGCTAAAAACCTTAGTTCGAACATTCTTAAACTAGATTGTTCTGGGGAAGATTTCGATACATCAACACACTTGGCTTTGTCTTAAAGTAATGGATTTGAAATGCCGATGTCCTGTCCCCAAACCTATTCATTGCATACGGCACTGTGCATTACAATTAGTGTGAAATGTATTACATT